CCGGTGCAGCATGATACCATGGTCGATGGTATCAAAAGCCGCTGAGAGATCTAACAGGACCAGGACAGAGGAACAACCCCTGCCCCGAGCCCTCCAGAGATCATCAACCAACACGACCAATGCCGTTTCCGTGCTGTACCCAGGCCTGAAGCCCGACTGGAACGGATCTAGATACGACGCTTCATCCAGGTACTGGGGAAGCTGTCGCGCAACCACACTCTCAACAACCTTCACAACGAAGCAAAGGTTGGAGACTGGATGATAATTAGCCAATACTGCCGGGTCCAGGGAAGGCTTCTTGAGGAGAGGCCTTACCACCACCTCTTTCAGGGTGGCGGGGAAGACACCCTCACCCAACGAAGCATTTATAATCCCCTGGAGCCAGCCTCGCGTCACCTCCCGGGAAGCCAGCACTAACCAGGAGGGGTACGGGTCCAACAAACATGTGGTCGCGTTCAATCTACCCAGAATCCTGTCCACGTCATCTGGGGTCACAGGATCAAACTCATCCCAGATAACAGTCTCAAGACCTGCCTCCATCACCCTCACCTGATCTATCCAGTCAGAGTCCAGACCTGCCCGAATCTGAGTGATTTTGTCATGCAGATACTGAACAAAATCCTCGGCTCTTCCCTCCAAGGGGTCCTCCCACGCTTCCTGGTGGAGCAGGGAGCGGGTCACCCTAAACAGGGAGGCCGGGCTATTATCTGATGACGCAATAAGAGCAGCAAAGTGAGTACACAGAGTTAATTTCAACCTGCCCTTTAGACACTAGAAAACCTGATTCCTGTTGGGTCATCAGTTCAAAGGGATTTCGTTACCTAAACAGAGAAACAGAATGACCAAGGTTAAGTAAAAAAGCAGTGGGAGTGAGAGCGACTTCTGACTTACTGGTGGCTTCCCCATTGAGTTTCTTATAGGAAGCTGGCAGGAAGCATCAGAAATCCTTCCTCCCTCCCTCCCTCCCTCCCTCCCTCCCTCCCCCTTCCCCTCCCTCCCTCCCTCCCTCCCTTTGCTTGTGGGAAGGTTGCAAGGAGAAAGTCAGTGGGGTAGTCAGCAATAAGTTGCAAGTCCAAGGCCAGCTGGCAGATAAGTGGTTGCTCCCAGATGGGAAGGTGTCATCTTTGGAAGCCATATTAACACCAGAAGCTTCCACACTGCCAACTTCTTGCACTTGGGAAAGTAGGAGGGGGGATTCAGGAGAGTGATTGTAGTTAGACATAATAGCATTCTTCCCTTCGGTCAAGGTCATGGTGTTTCTGCATCTGGAGGAGGATTCGGGTTTTCCCAGATGTGCCAGTATACCTACTCTAATAAATAGAACTTTGAGAAATCTTTGCCTCAGAGTTTTTAATTGGAATTGGGGCTTTCTGGAACGCTGACAGAAGGGACCAAAGAGGTGCATGGGGCTACCATGGTATGAGGGGGGGGGGGTACCGTGTGGACTGTAAAGGATGTATGGGTATGTACCAGAGATGCCACATATGTCGGGGAGGCCAGTGTCATTGCAACACAACTTTGAAAATATCTAGTTTCAGTGTCAAAAATTACTTGAAGACAAGGTAACATAGGAAAAAATAATTTGCATTTCTTTGATTCCCCTCCCCTTCCATCTTGTTATGTATTATTGGCACTGAGTTGCAGAATGCCCAATGCACAGCTTTTCCTAGAGGGTTTAAATTATTTAGGAGCATTTCTTCTGTTCCTGAGCATAATTAACACTTGAATATTTATAGACATTACGGTATTAACATGAATAAAGGCTTTGTGATATGAGAAAGGGTCTTAATTTAATGGGTTTAATGAGGATTACATCTGGATTATTGCGATCGGAAGTCTTGAATGTTTCGATCTGAAAATTATAACTCAGTGTTGATGTTCTGATTTTAAATGACACGTTAAATTCTACTACTACGTTTTTATTTTAACTCCTCAAGAAGCCTTGATTGTTGCAATGTACGGAGTAAATAAATAAGCATTCCTCCTCTTATGGAAATTCTTAGAAATACAATATTAGTGGTGTCATATAGAATTGTCTTTAGAAAGTCGTGTGAGGAAGCTGCTGGTTTGTATGGAACCTCCAATGGTGGATATTGATGATATTTCATATATAATGTGCAATCATCTGGCCCCAATCTAGCATTAAAAGTCTCCCCCTAGTAAGACCCTGGCTTTTGGATGGTCCACGAGGAGTTTACTAATGTAGTGTTCCAACTCCATCCATACTGCAGTGGTTTCAGCTTTTCTTAGCGATGGCGGAAGATAAACATTAATTATTAAAAGCAGGACCAAATCCATCTTAAGGAGAAGGGCCATAGCCATATGTTTTAAAATGGCAATAAGAGAATGAATCTTGGGAAAGACATACAAGATCTTGCTGATCTTGAGGAGTACAAGACTTGGCTGAGGACTTCTTTCAAGGAGTTTTCTTATGGAAAGTGCAATATGTTTTCACAAAGCAAAATATTTTCCCTCCCAATGATGTTCTTTCAGCTTTGGAATGTCTTTCTCAAAGAGATGTACATTGTACCAACTTTCAGCACCTGTTTGAGACATTTTGATTTAGCTATATATTTTAATTTAAATAATTACTCTGTCTCCCTTGTAATTTGTCTGTATATGTACACGTTGCATGTGCGTGCCTGCTATTTTTCTTTATGTGTGCTCAAAAGTTGGGAGAAAGCCAGTGGAGTCTATCCAGCTATAAACGGCATCCAAGAAACAAATTCCACATTCACCCTGCAGTCCCAAAACTTTGCAGGACTGAAAAAATTCCTGTGGGAATTTGTGAGGGACAAGGGGAAAAAAAAAGAGCAAATATCCTTTTCTTATTCAGTCCATTCCTGTATTTTTGAGATGTTGCTCTCCTATTTTTCTGCAATATGTTCCATTTCGAGTCTACATTGGGGTGTCCAACTTAGGCCACTTTTAAGACCCATAAATTTCAATTCCCAGAGTTCATGCTGGCTGGGGAATTCTAGGAGTCGAGGTCCACAAATCTTAAAGTTGGTAACGTTGGACATCCCTGGTCTACCTTATTGTACAATGCTCACATGACGAAAAGTGGTACAGGGATTTAATTATTAATATAAGTACCCCTTGTTTTCAGTTCAGTGTGTTATCATCAACACCTAAAAATAGAAAAGAACTGTTTCAGGCAAAGTACATGTTTCCATTTAGAAAATCCCACCATGTTGGGCTTGTTGGTTGCAAAACTGGCAGCCCAGGTTTGAAAACCAAGCGCCACATGACTGGGTGAACTCCCATCCTCGGCTTAGCTCCTGCCAACCTAGCAATTCAAAAACATGCAAATGTGAGTAGAAAAATAGGTATCCCTTCGGTGGGAAGGTAACAGTGCTCTATGATGTCATGCTGGCTACGTGACTGTGGAAATGTCTTTGGACTGTGTGGCTCAATGGCCTTGAAATGGAGATGAGCACCGTCCCCTATAGTCGGCAATGACTAGCTCAGGGACTCCTTTAACTTTACCTTGCCAGTAGGACTGAGAAAGATCCTTGTCAGGAAGTATGGAGACATGAATCAATCAGGACCGCGCTGAATGCTTGAAGGAGCTTCTAACACAAGGACTGCATTGATGTTCCTGGCATGTGGCACTCTATGCTTGGGTCCTGGGAATGAGAGACAATTAATAACCAGCTCAGTTCAAAACAAAATATCGTGAAAGCACTTTTGTAATGTGTTTGATGGAGGTCCAACACAGGAAATTTTCCACAAGTGAGAACTCCTACCTCATCCTGCTCCGTGGCTGCTGACTTTTCCACCCTCCCTTCCATAAAGAGAGTGTGAGCCTTTTTACCATCCAGCCCTGACCTAATGAAACTTATGTCCTGAATACTTACTAAAGTAGTGGTGGTGGTGATGATGATATTGACAAGAACAACAAAAGTATTATTCCAGATATTAAGGATTGGATTAAGGAGATGTGTAATCTATGCATCCAGCATGCAATATGTTTCCTTTTGGTACAGCCTTCATTATATTTTACAACAATAGAGTACAGGTAGTCCTCGACTTACAATCATTTGTTTAGTGACTGTTCCAAGATAGAACAGCACTGAAAAAGTGGCTAATAAACATTTTTCACAAGAGCATTGCAGCATCCCCAGGATCATGTGATCAAAATTCAGATGCTTGGCAACTGGTTCATATTTTAGATGGTTGCAGTGTCCCAGGGTCATGTGATCCTCTGTTGATAGCTTCTGACAAGCAAAGTCAATGGGGAAGCCAAATTCACTTAACCATGGTGTTATTAACTTAACAACTGCAGCTATTCACTTAACAATTGGGACAAGAAAGGTCATAAAATGGGGCAAAACTCACCCAATAGCTGTCTCACTTAGCTACAGAAATGTTGGGCTCAGTTGTGATCATAGGTCAAGGACTAACTATATTGTTATTTTTTTATCTTTAAATTAGAATTTTTTAATAACCTTAAGATATGATATATATGAAATTGGCTTAGATTGCTGACAGTATTCTTTTCCTTTCTGTTATTATTTACTAACTGTGTATTGTTTCTGTAGCTTTTTTTTTCTATCTTTACATCCATCCATCCATCCATCTACCTTTCACAGTCATAGGGATTGTTTTATTGCTCCACCTCAATGGGCCAATTAGTTTCTCATTTTTTCTTCAGTGCTGAAACACGGTGAGGGAATAAGGAGCCCAGGATCTGCTCAATAACTAGTGGCTATTTATTTATTTATTGCTTTTTTCTGTTAGCTCTGGAAAGAGTACTGGGTGGCTCTGTGGGACACTACTGAGGTGGGACAAGCCTCCTCCCAAAAGCTGAAAGGGGGGGCCAACAGCTATGCAGAAGTTCTCTCAGTTCCTTTGATAGCCATCCTACCTCGGTGGTGCTGAAGATAAAGTCACTGAGTGTCATTTCTGAGTGCGTTGGGCTCTTGAGAGCCTAGGAGAGAGTAGAGGGAGGGAAGAATTTTGCCAAGTTACAGGGGAATCTTTGTTTCTAACTTTAGGCCCTTCTTCAGTTATCAGCAATGACGACGATTCGGCAAGTCCCCTTCATCACATCTCTAATGGAAGCAACACACCATCTTCTTCTGAGGGAGGCCCGGATGCAGTGATTATTGGAATGACAAAGATTCCTGTAATTGAAAATCCTCAATATTTTGGAATTACAAATAGTCAACTCAAGCCTGACACGTGTAAGTACATATTTATATATATTTATGTGTATGTATGTCTATAGGTAAATAGGTGTCTTCCCTATGCGCATGTAATTTATGATTGATTTCCCCCTTTCTGAAATTGATTATGAATGCTAAGTAACAGGCTATCCATCTAACCATATACATGTTTTTTCAGATTACAACCTATGGGCCTTAATAAAGCTTATTTTATTAGGTGTGGTTAAGATTGCCCCATTGTTAACATTTTCAAATGGAATAAATCTAATATTTATATTCTATTTATCTTTTATTTCTTTGGCCAGAGAACAAATATTGACCTTTAAAGTTTAAAATATGTTTTTTTGAATGAATATAATTACAAATTCAGCAGGTGAAGTAAGTTTTACTGATTGTTAAATCTGTTGAACAGTGAAGGTCAAATGGTGATCAAACTGTGACACGTTTTGGATGAAATCAGAGATATTTGAGCAGATAAAAAGGATAGTTGACTCCATAGACTTTGAGGTAAAACCAATAGCAGACATACACACATTTCTATCACCTATTCCCTTTTGGGATAAGCAGCCTTATTTAAAGCATTAGAAACTGAACAAGAAATTGTGAGCCAAAGAAAGGCACAATAATGAAATAAGAAAATAAATAAAATATTACTAGTTTACATCAATAACATTTGAAGCATTTTAATATCTTCCTTCCTGGAAAATCATGATTTTTTTTTAAAAAAATATTTTTATTATGCATTTTCCTTTATTATACATCACATTTCCAGTTTTGCAATGACAGTGTACTGGCTATATCAAGTCCTTTTTAAGTATAGATAGTATTATACACCCTGAGTATAACCATTATTCTCGTAGTCATACAATATGGTCTTTTTTAAATACATAATGTTGTACGTCATAGTTATAACCATTATTTTCATAGTTGTACCATAACACTCTATACATATATCACTCTATATGTTTTAATCTATAATCATGTATAGTCCGATAGTACTATTGCTTACGGTATATATTCTTATATATATCTATATAACTGTATCTATTTCTATTTTGTTGATCTGGAAAATCATGCTTACTTCCACCGTATCCATGCACTAAATCGGACATTGCTTTTTTGTTCTTTCAAATTCTTACCTCTCTCTCTTTTTGAGGATTTTATCAGTTCCATCTGACTTCCTCTGTCTCCCCTTTCCCTTTCCCTTTCTCTCTAACCTCCCCTTCCCCGTCTCTATTTGTTTGTGTTCATGTTCTCTCCACAGCCTATGTCTTCTGCAACGGCAATTCATTTGTGTATTCAATGCACATTCATTCAGGACTCATCCATTTCTAACCCTATTCCTTCTTTAGCACGCTCCTTCTTTAGAAGGAGCCATGTCCATTGTATTTGCCTTATTCTTACATTATTCCTAACATACAGGTAGTCCTTGACTTACAGCAGTTCATATAGTGACCGTTCAAAGTTACAACGGCACTGAAAAAGTGACTTATGACTGTTTTTCACACTTACCATCGTTGCAACATCCCCACAGTCCCATGATCAAAATTCAGATACTTGGCAACTGGTTCACTGCAACTGGCTGCAGTGTTCCAGGGTCATGTCATCAGCTTTTTTGCAAACTTCTGACAAGCAAAGTCAACGGGGAAGCCAGATTCACTTAACAACCAGGTTACTAACTTAACAACTGCAATGCTTCATTTAACAACTGTGGCAAGAAAGGTCGTAAAATGGGGCAAAACTCACTTAATAAATATAAATTTGGGGCTCAAAAGTCAAGGGCTAGTTGTATTTACTATCATGTCCATGTAACTGAATGGGCTTTCTTTCATGTAATGAATTTAACTTCTTTTGATACATGTTCTTCCATTATAATAGCTTATTATAAAGCTATTATAGAAATATCTATATTATTAGAAAGCTTATTATCTTTCTACGACCATTTATACATGTTAAAATTTTTCCATTGTTTCTTTAGAATAATCCACTTGCTCAGAATTGGGTTATTTTGCCATTCATCTTTAACTTACAATTCTTCACTCCATATTCTCTGTGGAAAACAACCACCATGATCTCAGACTTAAGCATTTTCAGAGCCATCCCACAGTCTAATGTTGAAAATATCAATCATCAACACTGTATCATGTTGCATACATAAGTACACAAATATTCCCATCCCCAGTGAGCACATTTCTACCATCACTGCAAGCATTTCTTTACCCACAAATACATTTGAAATACATTTAAACAACCATGGGAACATTATATATCCTTGTCTTAATCCTTGCTCAGTGCTGCACGTTTACTAAGCGTCCTGTTTATTCTCATACATCCTTTACTTCCAGCACATAATGCCCTTAATGCATTCAGGATCTAACCTTCAACTCCATATTTGCATAAAACATTCCATAGTTTAAGCCTGCTCACTTTATCACACATATTCTATAAATCAACAAAAGTACAAGGCTTGTCACATCTATACAATTCACAGGGTCCTGTGGAAGAGAAAAATCAATTCAGCATGATTTCCCCGATTTTGCTCGTGGTCACCTATATGGACAGAATTCTGCCAAACACCTTTCCAGTCACACTTGGCAAGTCAACAAACTAATTTCCTCTGTAGTTGTGACGTTTACACAAGTTACCCTATGTTTTGTATAGGGGATGAGTTAACAACTTCCTTCCAGTTGTCGGGCACAGAGGCTACCTTTGTGCATACTTGAAACAAGTTGCACTGCCATTCTGTAAGCAAACCACATCTGTATTTTAATGTTTTCCATCTTCACTTGCAGTCTTGTCATTTTTCAGCATTTTTCACAGCATTTCTGTGTTACTTTTTATCTACTTTTTTTTGTCGCAAGCATATGCAGCGTTCAGAGGAATGTCATCCAATTATTGTTTCCATGCGTTCTATCTCTTTGAGTTCATTCCATATCTTTTTTTTCATTTGGTTTTTCATTAATTAACTTTGCTGCAGGCTTCCAATTTAGCTGTGTTCCATCTAGTCCAGGGGAGTTGAATTCAAGGCTCGTGGGCAAGATCCAGTCCATGGGGTGCTTAGATCTGGCCTGCAGGGCCACCCTGGAAACAGCAAAGGACTTACCTGTAGTGCCTCTGCCAGCAAAAATGGAGCTCGGGAGGGCTGCATGCAGCCCACCCAAACTCTGTTTTCACTGGCAGAGGGTTGCAGGAGGCCATTGCAGCCAAAAATGGAGCTCGGGGGCCCATTTTCGCTGGCAGAGTGCTCGGGACACCACAGGTGTCCCAGACACGTGTGACATCAAGCTGGCCATGCCCACTCTGGCCACGCTTCCCTGCCCCTTCCGAGATTAAACACAACCCTGATGCGGCCCTTAATGAAATCAAGTTTGACACCCCTGATCTAGTCCCTCACAACTTCTGGAAGCCAAATAATGACCTCTCCCAATGCAGAATCCATGCAGAATTTAAATAGCTTCAGGAGAGCACTCAAGGAGTCAAGGTCTGAACTGCTGGTCCTTAATAAATAATGGCTAAAACTGTCCAATCAGGAAGGAGCAAAAGAGTACCTCCCACACCATCCTTCACCAGGACAACAGCATGGCCAATGGTTCTGTACACAGCCAAGAGGTGTAATAGGATTGTTTTCGATCACCCATATCCCTAATAAAGGTACATACCAAAATGACCAGTGCTGTTTCAGTCTATGTTCACATCTGAACCCTAACTGAAAAAGCATGTTCTTCATGACACTATCTATGACCCACCACACAATCTTGGTTGCCCACGATTTTCAAATATTGATAAAGGATAGATTATAGCTTTGGTCATGCCCATCGTATTTGCATCATTTCCTGGTAACGGTATGAACAATACTGATACGTTTTGCCACATTTGGGGCAATAGGCCACAAGTGTAACCGAAGCCCACTTCCATCCCAGGTGTGCTCACACTTGTTTATGCACACCAAATCTCCAATCTAAACACTAACCTAGATTTTACTGACATTCCACTAAAATGGAACCATATGCAACATACCGGTGCACACTCAGGCAATCTCTAGTAAACTTTTAATTTATTTCGGTGATATAAATTTACAACTTCATAAAATAAAAATGAAATACTTATTGAACTGTACAGTATATCTTTACAGTTACCCCCATGCTGGCAGAGATGTTACAGTTGTGCTTATATTTCCAAGAGAAATTGGATCAGTGGCATCTGCAGCTCAAAACAGGCAAGATGGTGGTTTTGAAACACAACTGAAGCCCTGCCGTTTTGTATATTTGTGTAAATCATTGTACATCCCAAAGAATTGGATTGGAATGCCACAACTGGCATCATTCCTGTTTTGACCGCCCTGATGGATATTGCTAAGTTGCACCAACCTAACTGTAAGCAATGTCAGTGGATCCCCAATATTCAGTAATAGTGTTAGTTTACGTGATTAATAGGTGTTAGTTGTCATTTTTGAAGAAATGAATGTTTTGCCTATTTCAACTGTGTTAAAAATCCTAACTCACAAAATACACTACACTGGAACAGAACAAATTACAAAAGCTGTATCAGTATGACAGATTTTTGACACATGCACTTAAACAGTTGTAAAATAAATACACAGTAAGTTCACTTCATAATAAAGACAGCTTATTCTGTAGCCATAAATAATAATTTAAAGAGTACAATGTTGTTGCTTGATTTGGAACTTGTATGCCCTTGCTAAGCATGTAGAAACAGATGTACATGCTTACTTGGACTTAGAAGTCTAAGCTTGACTCCCATGGCTAAGTCATATTTTTTTTCCAAAAAATTGCAACTGTCCTCTAAATTGTGGCCTTAGCTTTATGCCAATAAAAATATTACTACTACTACTTAAACCAAAAGAGGAAGAAACCTAAGAAAATAATTTAAAAGGAGTATCATTAAAACCATTAAATAATATCATATTGGATAACCCTATCAAAGTTCATTTTTTCCAACATGTAATCTTGAACAGTAACTAGTCAGTGTAGTCCTTTCCTTTCCTTTCCTTTCCTTTC